TGGAAGGGGGAGGGCTGGGGGACAAAAGGGGGAGAGAAAAGTCTGGGAGGAGATAGGATTGAAAAAGAAAAGCAGGGAAGAGAGGAGGGAAGGACCAGCCAGAGAGGAAGAAACACAGAGAAGGGGGCAGTGAGGCACATGAAGTACCGAGACCAGGAGGGCAGCTCAGACCCACGATGCTTCAAAGCCAAGAAGCCACAGAGGCCGGTGAGGGGAGGCACTACGGGATGGGGCAGAGGTTAGGGTTTGTAACAAGGGACACCCACTGGAGGGACTCACTGTTACTGACTGGACACGGTTTTTAAAGGTCAGATTGCCCGGGCTCTGCATGGTCTCTTTAAGTAAGCCCTCTACCCCGTCCTCTCCTGCCTGTGTCTCTCTTCCTCTAATAGCCACCTCCACCTTCCTTCGTTCACATTTTTGTTCCCAGCAGTACCCTCCCCTGGAGAATGCATAGTAAAATTTAGACACCCGCCTCCCCTCCAAAAAACAACAACAACAAAAAAAACAACCACAACCCCTGAATAGCTCCTTTCTTTGCTTCTACCCATGGAGGGTCCTGGGTCCTCTTATCTGTAGATAGAGCTGTTTGTGATCATCTGTACTTCATTTCAGCCCAGTTTTCACTATATTTCCTTTAAGCCAGGACATCAGAGCTGTTTTGCTTGTATTTGCTGCCATAGTGGGGCCGGTCAGTTTCCATTAGCACTGTCACCATTACTATTAAGAGCCTTTGAACAGAGGGAGGAGCCAGTCCAGTTGGCGTCCACCTGCAGTATAGAGTATTCCTGCGGGGAGGGGGGGGTAGAGAGGTGGGAGGGAAGAGACCCCTGAGTACAGTCACGGATCCTCTCTGACTTTCTGACTCCAAAAGTCTGATCCCTTGAGGGAAAAGCTCAGCTGGGAACCGGCCAGGGAGCGTAGTAATAAAAGCCTCCCAGAACACAACCAAACGCAGTATCTATATATAGGAGCAGAATCTGTTTTAGCTACTTGCAGTCTA